ACTGCCCCCAAACATATGCGCGCAGGCATTGTTAGGAACTAAGCAGTACTTTAATTGTATGTGGTAAAGTGAGCTTATGAAGCGTTGGTTGTAGGTTGTATTTAAAAAAAGCCTAGACGCAACAGGCATATCAGGTTTGGGACATTGCATATACGGGCACCATATCACGTGGCACCTGAAATTGTGCGGGCTGTAACACACGCCATACTTAATCCATTTAATCCACTTCGCTCTGGGTCAGTTCACTGAATTTTCCAGTAGCGAAGTGGATGAAGTGGATCAAGTATAGCCTGTGTGTTTGTGATGAACTGACAAAGGCGGAGCTCACCCGAGTCCATTTCTTCGCTTGCCTCTATTACCATCTCTGCAACTGCGACCGGGTCTTCCTTGCGTTCACGTTTTTTCTCCACAGACTCCTCCTTATTGACATCTTCGACCAGTTCCGCTTTTTGTATGCCATCTTCTGAGCTGGTTGCTGTCTGCTGTATGGTAGACAGAGGTCTTCCTCTGGATTCAGCGCATCAAATAATGAAAAATGCTAGTCAGAAGTTACAACCTCTCTATGGAGTGGGATCGCTCTATAGGAGGAGCTTCATAAGAAGCTTGCACTCCCGCAGATGCCGACCGTTTATAGCTTCGGTTATGGCTGGAGAAACGAGGTGGTGGTGCTTTCGCTTGTCGTAACTCCACGAACAAGCCCGCTGCAAGGTGTGGTGATGGATGAACTGAGACATGCAAGGAAACTCACTTTCTTGTATTCGTGTCTGCTGACGCTCGGATAGCAGATGCCAAGCGTCCGCCTTCACAACCGAAGCCGCGTAATGTAAGAGATGCTTATCGACCAATTCATATATTCGGCGCACGAGTGAGCAGAACCTCTAAAACTGATAGAGTGAAGAAATTTACGGGACAGGCTATGCGCACTGACGGGGCTATATTCGTCAAGTGGAATATTGAGCGGCCTACTGGGTGCAGGTGATGAGTTTTTGATGTCTTCCAAGAGATCATCCAAGCCTTTAAAAGTCTTGATGGCCACATCTGCAGAAAGGGAATGCACAATAGAAGGAAGCAGGCCTTCCAATACGCCCAGGTTCAGCGCTAGGCCCTGAAATTATCAAACGTGAGTGTGGCAAGATAATTAGATTATACGATTAGATTTGCGGTAATCATAGTCCATAAACACCATAATTTGACTCTCAACAGGTGTCGACCGGATAGTATGTGCTGTTTCTGGGCTTACTCAGCCGAATGAAGTTTTTTAACGAATGAGTCAATCAAAGATTCACCCACGGCCAAAATTTCGCGGGCATTGTGCACCAGCGTGGTGTTGCGCGACGCAGCAGCAGGAGCGTAGTGGGTTTACGGCTGAAAGCATACAAGCCGATGCCATTCGTCCACTAAATACGGTACTAGGAACAGGTTTGTAGACGAAATTTTTTGGCCGTGGTTGAATCTTATGCACTGCCGCGTGGGTAATGCCTTACGTAAAGTCCTTCTATCCAGATCTGCTTGGACAGCCTGAATACACTCACGACCAATTTTCGAAAACCCATTTTGGACCAGAGCGTGTTTATGTCAAATTCGACCCGGTTATGGGTTTTTTTTT